GAAAGAGCAGCAGGGTTGCCTTTCCCTGAGGATCCCTGGACATTTTTGGGGTGGATGGTTGGGGGTCACATCCTTTCTCTGGGTGCTGCAGGAGGGACTGAGCAGGAAACACCTGCTCTCAGCTTGTTGCAGTTTAATAAACCAGAGAGCTGGTGTGGTTTCAACTGTGGCCCTGGTTTATCCCAGGTTTGAGGGTCACATCCAAGTCCTATCAGTTCCAGATTGATTTTTGAGGGGCTAATTCCATCCCGTCTCCTTTTTCCTTGGCGCGGGGTCCCAGGGGCTTAGGGCTTGGCCGGGGCCAAGAAGAGGACCCGTGCGTGTTGCTTTTGGCTGAATATTCCTGACTGGAAAATGAGATTGGAAAGATAGGTGTGGGGATTAGGGGAAGCTCAGGAGCAGAAATTGGAGTAGAACATGGTTTGCAGCTCCAAAGGCTGAAATTGCTTCCCTAAATATGAAGGAAAGCAATTCCTAAAGAGGACAGATCCGAGCGCTCAGCCCGGCTTGTTTGTGCCGGGATGGCTCAGCACGTTATTCCCACCCTGCCTGCTGAATCTAGGACTGTGTGTACTCATTTCAGGCATGAGAAAGATGGATTTCAACACTTTTGAAAGCACTTAACCTTCCCCAAAGTGACGTGCAGGGGGAAAAAAAAAAAAAAAAAGCTGTCCTCTTCTTTCATTACTGTTGGAGAGAAGAGCATTGGCTGAGGTTGCTACCAGGGCTGGGTGTAAGGGCAGAGATTTGGTGGCCACTTGGGGATGTTCTGCCCTTTCTGCAGAAAGAATCCTTCAAGCCATCTTTTTTTTTTTTTTTTTTTTCCCCCCTATGTTAAGCTTTGCTGGGCTCTGCCAAAACACCCTGGTCAAGGTCACAGCTCTCCCAGGCAGCTTTCTTTGCATGCCCTGCCCATGGCTGGCCCTTTCTCTTGGCAGAGAAGCCCCACAGGGATGTTTTTGGCAGCTGGTTGTACCTTGCTTGTCTTCCAAGGAAGTAAATTGACTCCTGACACTTTCCTTTCCTCTCCTGCTTGGGAGCTGTTGCATGTTCACAGGCATGGAGGAGGAAAGGAAAATATAACCCATTGCTTGGATACTCAGGGTGAAGAAATCCACTCCTGTTCCAGAGCTTGGCAGGAATCTCTCATTTCCAAAGGCATGAGCTCTTCCTTGTCCCTTTCATCCAGCACTTTCTGGATAAAAGCTTTTCCAGCTGGCTGGGATGTAGATTAGGCTCTGATCCTTGCTTTGAGGGGGGTCAGGCTGTTGGTGGTCTCCCAGCTGGAAGTGATTGGGGTCACATCTCCACACAGTTGCATGCAGAGGTGTTAAAACTCTTTTTTTTTTTTTCAGGCAATTCATTGTAGAGCCTCCAAGGAGCCAAGTGCAAGTAGGGTTTAGGAGTGGTAGAACAGGCTAAACATAAAAACCCTGCAAGTCCTGCTCTTACCAGCAGCTCCCTGATGGCCTGTTGCTCCAGTCCTCCACCTCGAGGGGAGTCCAGCACCACTGGAAAGCTTTTGTGGGGAGCATGGGTGTAGCCAAACTCGATCTCATCCTGGAGAAGGGAGGGAAAACCACATGGAGCACATCAGCAGGGAGGGAAAGCTTTGCTTCCCCTCTGGTGTCCACCTACCTGCATCCAGCGGTCCCCACGGTTGGTGTAGCCAAAGCAAACCTTCAGCTCACAGCCAGCCTTGTTCACCAGGTTTTTGATCTCCTTGATGAAGAGGTAGTTGTCCTTCAGACTGGGAAAGAGGGTGGAAGGAGATGAAGGGAGGATGGATATGTTCCCCAGGCAGCTGTCTTCTCTGTCTGTCACCTCCCCAGCCTCTCTCTCCAGGGAGACTGTGGGGCTGATTTACCTGGGGAGGAATCATCCCTTGGCCTTTACCTGCAGACAAAGATGTTCACTGGTGCCAAAGTGTTGGGCATCATGATCCATGGTGCTACCCTGAACACCACTGTGTCTGTGAAGACTGGTGTGGGGGGGACACCCTGGAGGGAGGCAAGGAGAAACTGGAGACTTTCTACACCCTCTTTACCACTATTCCCACCCCCAAATACCCTACCCTTGAGGTAATTTGGGGAGTAAATTAATAGGGACTGCTCTCTATTCCATTCCCTTCTCCATTCCCCCTAGGCTGTCACACCCCTTCCCTGGAGCCCCCAGACCTCAGCCGGGGTTTCCAGGAGGCTGGCATGGATGGAGACCAGACCAGAGAAGGAGTCATCAGGAAAGCGAAGCCCCTCAATGAAGAACTCAAGCTCTGCAGCCCCACCAGTGTACTGCACAACGTGGTACAGCTTCCTCTGGCCCAGCACGTGGACGTAACGCTGCCCAAAGAAGGGGTCTGCAAGAAGAGAAAGGGGAAGGTGAGCAATTTCCAAAGTTTCATTGGTAGCTTCAAGCCTCATTTTGCTTGTGCACCACACAAGGAGGTACCATGATCCCTCTGTGGGTGGGTGGGACTTCATCTGGCTGAAGTACCTTAAAATGGAAGCTAAAGGGGCTTGTGATTTTTGTTGAAGGGTGGAGAAAGGTGTTTTGGCCTTTCCTTGGATATAACCAGCATTGGGAAGATGTTTTCATGGAATTCCTGCCTTTTACAACCCTCTCTGTGCCATAGGATGGCAGTGCCACCAAACTGCTCTACCAACTGCCACTGTCTTGGAGGACAAGACCAAGTTACTTAATGGCATGTTTTGGGCTGGATGAGGGTATTTGGTCCCAGGGGAAAGTCCCTGTGCCCAAGGAGGGGAAAATGTGTTGTAGAACTTGTTGCCATCATGGCTAAAGCATCTGGGTGTCAGGACACCTGTGGGTTTTTGCCACTCCTCTGCTGGATGACCTTGGATAACTGGCTTTGTGGCCTTGTGCTTTGCTTGTTACTGCTGCATTATTCCAATTGATTGAGAAGAGAGAACATTCAGGGCTGGAAAAATTTGGAGAAAGGAAGTATGGTTTGCTTTGGAAGTGTCATTGGAATAGTATGGAGAGAGCATGGACAGATGGAAAGAAGAGCTTGCAAGGATGTAAAAAGCACCCACAAATGTGGAGGAAGGGGGACAGGAGGAGGTGAAGGAAGAGGCAGAAGAGGAGGTGAGGAAGGACTTACTCTGCACATGGAAGACCCCAATTTTGTCAGCATTGGAGATGGGAACATACAGAACAATTTCATAGCCCCGGGGTACCCGCTGTGGCCCTTCAATCCTCAAGACCATCCGTGACATGTCCAGCAAATCTGAGGTGCAAACAAACACCCCCTAAGTGGTGGGGATTGCTCAGCTCTGGCCAGCTTGTGTGCTCCCTCCTGGAGTCTGCATCTCCCATGCCAAGAAATCTTCTCTTCCCTTGCTACCAGCCTGTGCAAGCTGGAAAAATAACCTGTGGCCATCATAGAATCATGGAATGGTTTGGGTTGGAAGGGACCTTGAAGATCACCCAGTTCCACCCTGCATGGGCGGGGACACCTCCCACCAGCCCATGTTGCTCCAAGCCCCATCCAACCTGCCCTTCAACACTGCCAGGGATGGGGCAGCCACAGCTTCCCTGGGCAGCCTGTCCCAGTGTCTCACCACGCTCACACTGATGAATTTCCTCCCAACCTAAATCTCCCCTCTTCCAGTTTTAATCCATCACCCGTTGTAGATGCCCTTGTCAGAAGGTCCTGCTAGCAAAGCTTGTGCCTTTTCTTTTTATATCTTTTCTTTTCTTTTTCCCCCTACAAAGACCTTGGCCTCAAAAAGCCAATGGACACTGGCTCCATGTGGTTTTAGTTTTCCAGGAGCAGACGGGTATTCCCAGCCACATGCCTTGCCTAGAGGTCCTGTCATCCCTGTGGAGGCATCTCTGGCCCCAGCTCTGCCATCAGTGGCACCTCTGCTATTTTTCTGGCTGTGCTTCATGCCCCTGCTTGACTGCAATTAGTTTACCTGGCATTAAAAAAAACAACCAAAACAACCCATTCCCACGTGGAAAGCTTACTCAGCAGCTTGGTGGAGGGCAGCTCATGGGCAGCTGGTTCCCAAGCAAAGCTTCACCTCCCAAAAAAGGTTCAAGAGGGGAAATAATGAAGCATTTTTTTTACTTTAGAAGATGTTTTTGAAGCTGTGTTACCTTCTTTGTTGAATACCCTTTCATCGTTGCTGTCTGATGCTGGAGTGAAGGGGCTCTCCTTGTTGCAGCTGACCAGGAGGATGGCCCCATGTCCCTCAGGGCCCCAGGTCCAGCTGGCCTAAAACACCCCCCTGGAGCTTAGCAGGCTCAGGCTCTTGCAAGCCCGTGAACTCTCCTCTACATGCAGTGGAAGAGGCTGAATTACCTTGTTGGGACTGTTCTTCTCCACCACTCCATCCTGATCTGTGTCAACGTCCAGCGAGATGCCTGGATGGACAGACCTCATCTCAGGGTATGGCAAAGTGGGATGGATGCAAAAGCCCCCCCCGACCCAGCAAACCTGGCTCCACCTTTGCCCCACAATGCAGCACCAAGGGGGTGAAGATGGATTGCAGAAGCCTTCATACTCACCCATGCCAGTGAGGAAGACCCCAGCTTGGCTGATGTGCTGCCCTCCCTCTGCGTAAAAGCTGACGGTGACCTGCAAAGCCCCAGGTCCCTGCTTGGAGAAGGATGTTCTCCACCTGGGGGTCCCACACCGCTACATCCCCCTTCTTACCTTGTTATCGTTGACCTCTGTGCTGGCCTGCTTCATGCTGAACCTCAGGAGTGTCCCCTTTTCCAGTGGCCACTGTGTCCCACTGCCAGGGGCTGCCCCCACCCCTGCTTGGCTCTGGGACACCACCTCCACGCTCACCCCCTCCGTGTGCTTCACGCTGAAGGACACTGTCCCAGCCGGGGCCGCCCTGCCAAAAACACTGAGTTTAGAGCTTTGCACCAAAACCTCCCACTTCTCACGACAATTAAGCTTCTTGCTGCCAAGCCTGGCCATGCTGGTGTCTCCATGCTCCCTACCAGCACCTTTCTACCCTTTCTTCCCTGCCTGGAAACATTTTAGGTGTCTTTTTTTTTAGCACAGGTTGGACATGGGGGAGGAATTCTTTGCTGTGAGGGTGGTGAGACCCTGGCCCGGGTTGCTCAGGGAAGCTGAGAGAGTTGGGGTGTTCGGCCTGGAGAAGAGAAGGCTCCAGGGAGACCTTAGAGCAGCTTCCAGTGCTTGGAGGAGCTCCAGGAAAGCTGGGGAGGGACTTGGGACAAGGGCAGGGAGGGATGGGGTGAGGGGGAATGGATTAAAACTGGAAGAGGGGAGAATGAAGTTGGACATGAGGAGGGAATTCTTTG